CTCTTTTTCTCGGGACGCTCGATCACACAGATCCCGGATTCGAAAGCAACCTGCTTCGAACGTGTTCAATATTCATTTCAAGAATTCATTCCGTACAAACGCGATCGATTATCCCGATTGTCGTACGATATTGTAGGTACATACACACATACAATTATATCAGTGGCATTGTGCCTATACATCTCTACGATTTTTTATATTATCTGACACGTGACCGTGCTCCGATAGTTTATAATTACACGTAAGAATCTGCTAAAAGATTCGCAACATACATAAATTGGATACACGATTGTCAATTTCGATACGACATATATACGCATTCTTATCTTTATATGTATTTATATACGTATACACATGTATGTATAGAGAGAGAGAGAAATACTTCTCTTTTATGTTCAAATAGTATTTATATAGGTGATTACAGTAGGTGACTCAAGTTAGGCAGACTTGAGTGTATGGCGAGATCGAAACGCTAATTATGTTTTATAGAAAAAAGTAAAAGAAAGTGTCCTCTTCTCTAAGTGCCTTCTTCTCTAAGTGTCCTCTTATTATCGTAGATTCTTCTCTTTCTCTCTCTCTCCCTCTGGTCGCTAAAAGCTTAAATAATTCCTCAGCAAAAATATATTAGCACCTTTTCTGGCGACCCGCGTTTCGTAATTCATACGCGAGCCGAAGCTTTCAGAAACATCGAGTGGTTGGTGAGATATCGCCAACGACGCCGATTGCTAACAAAATAATTCAGCGTTGAATAAAAACCGTTGTGCTAACGATCACGATGGCAATCAGTGATCGATAAATAAATACGCATCGACGAGTGTCAGTAAAAAACGTATTTAGGTGCGCTTAGCCACTTAAAAAGAAAGAAACCTTTCGTTTCTACAGGTTTGATGATTGCATTTGTTCATAACAGGATTGTCCGTGCGTTTTATCATCAGACGAGGACAGCTTCGAGGAGAGCTCGTCGTGAACTTCGATTCGAGCCTCGATTTGTGAACTCTCGTCAAAAGTATCCTCGTGCCAAATCTATCCTTTAAAAAAAACGATATGTTTGTAGACCGATCAGATTTTT